GCTATCATATTTTAGACGCTGTTATCCTTGTAGTTGAGAACATTTTACCAAGAAATCAGTGGCACCTTTATTTTTGTATTTCAACCTCCCCAAAAGAAACTGCTACAAATTCTTTCTTTAGACGGTTAATCATGACATATGGGGGATTTAAACATAGAGAACATGTATGAACCTAGATTACGAAGAATAACCATACACAAAGTGAAATGACCACCATACAGGAGTTTTCTACCTATCCAGCTTGAGAGTTTTTTTCTGAAATAAAAGGGGTGAATCTACCTAACAATAGTAAAAGCTAAGGTTGGAGGTATGTGCATTGGCCCGACCCTAACGGGGGACAATAGGTGCAACCGCACAGACCCCGAAAAAATAGGGTTGGAGTTTTAATCCAATTATATAGTTACTAATAAATAAGGATGTCAACAGGGATAAACGGAACAAGGATTTTATCGCCCAACCCCAACCCTAATATTTTCCCATTCCCCCGCCCCCGCCCCGAAATTTTCAGCCTCCCCACCCCCGCCCCCGGCTCCAACCTCGAATTTATGGATTACCTTCCGCTAGGGATGTCAACGGGACCAAACGGGAGCAGAAATAGTTGCCTCCGTCCCGGTCCTGAAATCAGTTGTTGCTCCCGCCCCCGGATCCTCCATCCTGCCCCCGGTTCCCCGGGTTTATAGGCTTAAAATTTGATTTTTTGCTAAAAACCGCATTGTTTTAGGCTAAAAAAAATACTATTTTTAATAACTTTAAAAGCTTAAAATCTAATCTTTTAGAAACTAAAAAATTAAAAATCCAACGTTATGAATCCAACATTACAAAACGACAATTCCAACAACCTTACAAATATAAAATACGACAAATCCAACATTACAAATATAAAATACTTACACGTCCAAAAATATATGATCAATTCGCTACATCTTCAACATCCATTAATTGGAAACAAAAAAGTGAAACATACACTAAACCTAAAATTAGAAAGTCTATTTTGTATATGAATTTAAATTAAATATATATTTTTACATAAATGTACAACCGGACCCCCGCGAGAGTACGGGACGGAAATACCGACTCCCAACCCCGGTCCCGAAAATAAACGGGGTTTAATTTTGCTCCCGCCCCTGCTCCCGTTTTTTTTTAAATTTAGTCTCGTACGGTATCAAGGTCCCGCGGGAGCAAGGTCCCACAAGGGATTTTGACATCCCTACCTCCCGCCCCGCCCCCGTTCCCCCGCTCCCGATTGATTTTAGGATATTTTTTTTTATTGGGCTAAAAGAAATTGGTTTTTTGGCTTAAAGAGTATATTTTTGGGTTTAAAATAATTATTTATAACATAACTTTACATGTTAAAAACAAATATGTGAGCATATCTCAAAAACGTTATACTAACAACTTGAAAACATGATTTTTTGTTGAATTTTGGAAGCTCAAAATCATTGCTATTATTTATTATATTTATATAATTGAAAAGGGGGTTAAACTTGCCATGCCTTTGCCCCCGTTCTTGACCTCGGTTTTTTAACAAATATCCCCCATATAGGATTGGGGTCTCAAGGGTTCGGAGTCCTATAAGACTTTTTGAGTAGTCCAATTGGTTTAAGCTTTTGTTTAGAATCGACATGGGCTCTACTCCCTTTCACAACGTCTTTACATTTTATAAACGATAATGACTTAGGAGGGTAATTAGGTTTCCAGTTTGTCCGTATTAGGTCACTAATATTTTTTTTTTGTGCGTATCAGACCAATATGGTTGTTATTACCGTTTAGAAATAATCCTTTTTACAGGTTTTTTCCTGTTTAACAGGTAAAAATGACTATTTCTAAACGGTAATAAAAATCATATTGGTCTAATATGCACAAAAAAACATAAGTAACCTAATACGGACAAACTGGAAACTTAATTACCCTCCTAAGTCATTAACCCTAATTATTTAGAAAACATGCTTACTAATCAATGTGACTGACTTGTGTAATTGAAAATAATTGCTTCTATTTAAACTTATCATACAACCTTTCCAGAAGTTCCAAGTCCAAAAACTCATATGATTAATGATCTTCATTACATAAATATGCAACATTTTATCAATAACTTCTTTTTTTCATTTAAATGTTTACATGAACACATCCATATGTACAAAAACAATCTCACTTTGATACCTCCCATCAATGTCTACATTTGATAATGAATGGAAATGTAAAACCAACAGAGACTTGCAAAGGATGTCTATTATCAATTATTTTATAAACTGCAAAACCACAAAATAAACTAAGAAACTGAAGTTGCAAAATAAATAAAAAAAATTAGCACATAAACAAACACATACAAACTATATACAACATATAAACAGAAGTTTAAAAAGCATGAAACTTAATGACAGGAAAAGTAAAAAACTTAAATGAGACTTTATAGAAAGAAATATCACCCTTATTTGCCACAAATGGTTGAAGAAATCAACAAGAAGATCAATCTGGCCATGAAATCCACATGTTATCTGATCATTACTTCAGTAGTTCATCTACTGAAATGCAAGAATTGCAATTGAACTCTATTGGCATTTGAAAATGAAATTAGGGTTTTAGAGAAGACGGCGAAGTGTTTAAAAAAATTTAGACCATTTCTCGATTTGTGTGTGTCATCCTTGCGTAGGGGTCATGCTAATCTTCTCTGTATCGTTCCAATTTTATCGGATGTCTCCGAATGGACGACTATAGATGAAGAACTTTGTCATATAGAAGAGTAGCAGGTTCTTCTTCTAGTCGATATGGGACGACGCAAGTTCTAAACAAACTAGTTTACTAATGATGGTCATATATTCTCAATGTCTTTAAAATTAGGTCACTAAGGGTTTTTTTTTGTGCGTATTAGACCAATATGATTGCTTTTACCGTTTAAAAATAATCCTTTTACCGGTTAAACATGAAGAAACCGGTATAAATGACTATTTCTAAATAGAAATAACAACCATATTGGTCTAATACGCATAAAAAAACATTAATAACCTAATACAGACAAACTACAAACCTAATTACCAACTAAGTCTTTATCCCCATTTTATAATTCAAGTTATAGTTTAACCATTACTTTATTCTATATATTTCACAATCAACCCTTCCTTTCAACTCTTTTAACAAACCAAATTAAAGAAGTTACATAATTAGTCCCTAAACTTTTATAAAAACCCATATGCCCCTTTTTAATTAATTTATTTACTTTTAAATTTTTTGTCACGACAATTCATCCTCTTAAATTTATTTTGCTTATCTATAGAAAAACTTGTATTTAAGGGCCCATTTTTTCGCACAAGGCTTCTAAAATCAACATAACTGCTCTGCATGTGCACGTTAAACAATGATCTAGGTCATGATTATGTTGACGGATACGTGTTGGCTTGAAGGTTGTGTTTAAATCGTGTGCTTAAGCATGTGAGCTCGATAGACAGAGGGATTGACGTTTCTACTATTTTTCATGTGTATGATTCGACATTTGAGATCATCGGTCATTTTTTAATTAATTATCTAGTTATTTTGACTCTGATTTCAAAGTCGTAGGATTTTGACAATCCTACTTTCACTTGATTTGCAAATTTTGTTTATTGGTCAAAAAAAAGTTAACGGTTCATAAAATATAAAATATAAAAATATAATCAAATATATATATATATATATATATATATATATATATATATATATATATATATATATATATATATATATATATATATATATAAACCTTTGATTTGATGTGCTCATCGTAACGTGTATTTGGGTTCTTTGACATTTTATAAACAACATTGTTTTTGGAACGAATAAGCATAGAAAGGTGGAGATTTTAACAAATTGATCTCATTCGTATTTTTATATGCATAATATGTTGAATTAGATTTGCTGGTTGCATAAGCCTAGGGGCTTTTTTGCACCTCTTAATGGTTCAATAAAAAAGTTGGCTCTAAGTATGTTATATTCAGAGCGTTTAGTTTTTTTTTTTTTTTTTTTTTTTACCGGTAAATAGAGAGTAACCCGACCCGATGGATCAGGAATGTCTGACAAGCTGTCAAGAAGGGTACCACTCACCATCAAAAGGAACGAAGAATCGAATTCATATCAATCCAGGAAAATCCCCAAATGTACTCAGCCAAGAATAAAAATCTTGACCTCATCCATTGAGACCTATAACCCATATAAGCTACTAAACTTTTATCATATCTGAATGAGATAACCCACCTCTTAATCACTCATATACAAAAGGCACATTGAATGACTCTGAATGAGAAAAAGGGCACACTTGCCCTTCCAAGACCGGCTTTAACAAATCACTGGTCTCTCTCTCTCTCTCTCTCTCTCTCTCATCAGAATTGGCTAATATATCTTTCTCTCTGTCAAACACACAACCATCAAAATTGGCCCAAACCATCGATAATGATTTTTCCCTTTCTTCACACTAAACAATTTCTTTTCTTTTTGATTTCACTAGTCTTTCATAGTAAAAGGTCAAATATGTTTGTTGGATTTTTTATTTATATAAAGATGAAATTGTTAGATTATTTTAGGGTTTGGTCTTGATGTATTGGTTCTGGTTCAAACACTTGATTCCGTAACCATGGAGTCATTTTGTTAATATGTATGTTAAAATCTCATCTTTTTTCCCTCTATATGTTTCTATTTCTCTTGTTTCTCTTCCAATTTTTTCAAAAGCATGTGGAAAGTATTTTTCCTAGTTATTCTTGCAGGGAGCCAATCGAAAGTCAAAGTCAACAATCAATCGAGTATTCCAAGATCGGCTTCAACAAGTCATCTATGAGCACAATATCCATCATTTTTACCATATTTATGGAGGTTGCAAGTAATTTTTAGTCATGTTTGTGGTTTTAAAGCGATATGAAGAACTATAAAACAATGTTGTTTTGCATCTTTGATGATCGGTAATTGTGTAATACAACTTTTGATGATTTATATATCTACAGTCAACAATGTGTATATTATAATATGTGTTTAAACATCGACTGTATGATGCTATTTTGTTATATGTTAAAGACCATAGGAATTGTTTCTTTTTTTTTTTCTTTCCATTAACCTTGTACAAATTTTAAAAATTTCAATTTATTTATTCTTGCTATACACAATTTTAAGAGCATGATTTGATGTTGTCCAATTCTAAAATGAAAAGTAAAATACCACAACCATTCAGACGCAAACAGGCAGATTCATTCCTTCTTGAATGCCAAATAAAACAGTGATGAAGATTTTCAGCAGAGCTCTTCTAAATCATCTTCCTCCTGAAGAAAAGAACCATAAAGATCACAAATTATACACCCAGAGATCCTTCAATAACAAAAAAGCATCCCACTTTTTACAAGGTTTTAAAGAATGAATAATCATACCCCTGTTGCAAAATGTCACCATTCAAGCTTTCAGAATTCAGACTTCAACTCAACATCTCACCAAACACTTGTCATTGACAAACTGTCTTAATATCATTCAGCATATCCCAACAGCACCTTAAGGCCCTAAAACAAGAATCCATGGTGTGTGTACATGTATAATTGATTGATAGTAGTATGATCAAGTGTGCGAAATGAAAAGACCTCAGATAAAAGGAATATCAAAAGGAGAATGATATTAAAAAGCCAACAAATATACAACTGTTGATATGCTAATAGAATTAAAAGGGGAAATTCTACTATCTACCATGATGAAAACATTTCAGAAAACCTCTAACCCATAAAGAACGCCAGCATATTTCTCATGTCCACCGCTGCAAAGATCCCTAATCTTCTGAAAGGTGTGCCATGTCAGTAAGCTATCTGACCCGGCTTGATGAGATTTACCGACTGCCCTCTCCACCTCGAGGGTCTTAGCCACCCGATCCAAACCACCATAAAGACCTTCGCAATACCTCATCAGGTGTTTAACATCATACACCTTATCCCCAAAGAAAGTTTTCAAAAGCTCCATAAACAACGTCATTTCATCGGGTAAACCTCGCCCAGTCAAGATCTTAACCAAGTACCCGAAATCGTAAGCACTGTGAAACGTAACCCAGCTCACAAGCTCGTTACAGACCAACCCCGACGACATCATCAGCTCAGAGAATTTGACCGAGTCTATTCCGTAGTCGTGATTCTTCTGAAAATCAATCCCTTGTCGTTTCAGCAGCTCGATCGAGTCAGAAGCGTACTGATCCCGTGACGGATCAAAATCCTTGAAGTTGAACTCCCATATGAATCGGGTTTGGGAGTCGTTTTCGCCTAGATCGGGGAGGTTTCCGTTCGCATCGGTGAGGGTTAGACCGACCTGGATAAGTTTCAAGACATCAACATTAGATTTGAGGAGGAGGTAGTGGTCGGAAGGGGTCTGTTGACAGATGTAGTTGTAACCGGGGTTCGGGCGAACAACGACGCCCGGAAACTCCGTGTCCATTGAAACGTAAGGGTAATCGTCGATGATGGATTGAATTAAGCGAAACTCCGGTTCTAGGTTATAGGCCCACACAGATCGTATCACAATCGGTGGCGATGGTGATGAACAGCCCTTGCTAGACATGATAACGACCGTCGGATCTCCAGATCGATGTGAATTTTGGAGAGATCTGAGTATGACGATCTACAAAGGCGGTGATCGGCGGGCTCTAATGGTTGATTCGGATTAGGGTTCGTACAATAATATTTATAACCAGGTTGTGTGTGAGAGAGACAGGGGAAAAAAAGGACGTGTTTGAGTGAGTGGGGGAGGAGAGAGAGTATTGTTGCAGGGTGTATAGAAATATAATAAATAAAATGATTTTGACCAAAATAACTATATTTGTTAATCATGTACAAACATATATAACAAAAAGATTGTTTAGGGAGAATTAGAATAAGTTTGAAAGGATGTGAGTTTTTAAATGGTTAATGGAGTATTATAAAACATTTCAGGTTTTTAGATTTCTTATGTTTAAATTGTTCTAAGAAATGATTTTTAAAAAGTCCTCATATCTTTTCAAAAACATTTGTCAGAAAAACAAAAAGAAATAGCTTAACAAAATTTTGTATTAGGATCAAGCTTATAATTCTCACATTCGTGTTTATGTCATTGTTTATGCGGTTGTGGGTGGTTTCAACATTACAACTTGAAAAGAGTATTAGATTTTTTTTTTCTCATAGGAAATATTGTTATATCTAATTTTTATTGGTTAAAATAATATCAAAATCTATTTATGGGGTGTTTAAAGATTGTTGCAGTGGAAAGATAGCAATCTAGGTTGGCATGACATCCTAAATTGTTTTCAAAATCAAAATAAAGCTCTCAAACTCGAATATATGTTTGAATTTTACTTTTCATTTGATGTAATCAGTAATCTGGTTATATTAATTTGAGAATTAATTTGTCAAAGAAGTTAGAAATATGAATTTTATAAGATATAAAAATCAATCACACATAAGGAATACGTGTCATAAAAAGTTTAAAGAGAAATCGGTTGAGTTTTAGCCAAAACTTTGTAAAGGAGAATCAAAGTACTACTCGATACAAAACTGATGGGTCATGCAGCACCATAAGAAGAGGACACATATCAACACCCGGGTGGTTCACGTGCAAATTGTGCGGCACGCAGTGCGCGACGTGCACCCAGAAATCCCCTAATAGCGGGCTTAGGTTGATCCTTTCTCACCTCTCTCTCTCCGCCCCCCCCCCCTCGATGTTTGTGTTACTGACTCCCAAGCGCATCTAGAGTTTTGAACTCCCAAATTCTACCCTACATCAACGGTTTCACATTTACAAGTGAGTTCACGACCCATTTTCTAAACCTTTTTGAGGGGATACATGTTAAAATACAAATACAACATAGTTATTACTAATTGCATACTATTAGTTAAATAATTATGCACATAAAATTAGGATGATATTATGTCCGGTAGAAACTATACCCAAACTTCTAAAGCTAATATTATGTCTAGTTGTTATACTAATTAACACTAATAGATAATATCATACCTACCTATTACGTTGACCAGTTACCAAGAAACCTGATACTTTAGTTGTTATTATAACCACCTGTAACATTCGTGGTTCGAGGTAATGCTAAATTATTTAATTTTTGTAATTAATTGTTGGATTATGAGAGTGATGTTGGACTATTTGAGTTGGGTCGTTAGTGAGTGGGCCGACTGAGGATGTACGTTGGGCGTAAGCTTGGTGTACGTGGGGCGTAGTGGCAACATTAGATGTGGGGGTTGATGTGCGTACGTGTAACATACACGAGCCGACCCAAAACCCTAAATTTTAGGGTTTAAGATATAAATACATCATTATGTCCCAAACCCTAGCCTCCTTACCAACCTCTCAAACTTATAAACCCTAGAAAGCCTAACATTCATCATCCTTCTGTGATTTTGATCTTGTGAAGCCCATTTTGGTGGTTTAGAGCTTGGAAGGAGAAAAAAGAAGTTGGTGAAGAAGATTTTGTGTAACTTGAGCTCAAGGATCTAATATATCATCATCATTTAGTACTCATTTAAGGTAAAAAGCTCACAACTTGCCTCATGTATGCTTAGATCTATGGTAATGGTGTTTTGGACTTTTTTGGTCCCAATAATGGATTTTTATGGTTCAAATCCGTTTCTAGACTTAGGGTTGCCACCCTTAGTGCTATATGAGTCCCAAGGATAGAAAAGTTACCATCTTGAAGGTCTTATTGTGGCCATGCATGAGTTTTAGTCATTTCGATGGAAGTTGGTTGCCATATTTCAAGTTCGGGTCCATTTGGTGGATTGCAATCCACCAAGTAATCGACTTTATGGGTTAAGACACTTTATTGGACTCAAATCTATGTTTGAAGTTTAAGGTCTTAAGGGATTAAACCTTTTTGGAGTTTATGGCTTAACATGTTAGTACGTTGGGCGTACAAGCCCGTACGTGCAGCGTACTAGCCATGCAAGTTGTACGCTTAGTGTACAGAGGAGTACGCCCCGCGTACTTACTGGATATGGGTTTTCGTCATTTGGGCCTCGATTTGGGCCGATCCATGGAATTTGTTATTATGGGCCATAATGGGCCATCAGAAGTCAATTATTAGGCTAAGGTATGTTGGGCTTAAGGGAAGGTCCATTTGAGGAGTTGGGCCTAATTTAGAAAATTAGGTTATAAGTGGGCTTGGAAAAGCTAGATAGAATTAGACCATTGATGTTATGGATTTGGGCCTAGGTTATGGTCTGAATTAGATCAGGGGTAAAATTGTCATTTTACCCTAAGAAGGATTATTGAGTTTTGACTAAGTGTTATGTTCTACTGATAGCTCAGGGAGTCGTCAAAGCAGCCGCTAGAGATTTATTACTGTGAGATTCTGCATTCAGATTTGCAAGGTGAGTTTCCTCCTGTATAAATGGGTCGAATGCACCAATGTCGGACCGTATATGTATGCTAGTATGTTCCGGACCAAGGTCAGATGTCGGGCAGTGCCCGGTGTAGGTTTATATGTTTCTGGATTTTGATCCAATGTCAGGCGGTGCCCGAGAAATGTTTGTATGCTTGGTGTCTTCGTGATTCTTGCATGTGTATGTATTGTATGTTTCCGGATTATGGTCTGACGTCGGGCAATGCCTGAGGAATGTTTGTATGCTTTCGGATTTTGGTCCGATGTCGGGCGGGGCCTAAGGAATGTTTATATGTTTATGTTATGTGGTTATTTATGAGTATTTGTCGATATATTTATATGTATACCGAGCTTTGCTCGATACCGGGTGCAGCCCGATACCGGACTTTGTCTGATGTCGGGCGAGGCCCAATGCCAGATTTTGTCTGATGTCGAGCGGGGCCCGATGAAGCGGGCGGGGCCCATGATATGTTATTGTGTGATTTTGTGTTTATGTGTATGGTATATGGTAGTTTGGGAAGACTCACTAAGCTTCATTCTTACAATTTTCAGTTTTGCTTTCAAGTACTTCCATTAGCAAGGGTAAGAGCTCGGGATGACTGCATTGCACACACCATGATGTTAGCCTGGAATGTTACTTTGATATATATATTTGACATGTTTTTTGATATGGATATACTAATTTTGATGTTTTGAGATAATATGGTTCCTGTTTTGATAAATGATTTTTGGTAACTATGGTTTATTTAATGATTTAAAAATGAAACTTTTGGTCATGATTTTTGGGATGTTACACCACCATTTGGATAAGGCTTAGTACCTAGCGGTTACTCTGCCCAAATACTCGACTACACATAACACACTAATTACATATATGTATAAGATGAATAATTATAATAAGTATCTCATATAAATACAACGAAGAATAACAACATGGTAGACCAGGTGAGGCCCCCACAACAAGAGTTAGACAAGGCACGATTCATCAATACACTGAAACATATATATATATATATATATATATATATATATATATATATATATATATATATATATATATATATATATATATGGGATTGACACTCCCACCTGTAGTTGCTAGCTACAACCCGACGTCAAGTCGAAGCAAACATAACTTTCTAAACACATTTGTGACGTTCAATGAAGCGTTGTGGTTTTACGGGAACTCAGTAGTCATAGCTCGATTATAGGAACTCATCTTAACTTTGTTAAACTAAATCTACCATTCTTTAAGGGACATCTCGAATGGAGTTGTAGCACACGCAACACGATAAAATAACACTAAGATAATATTACCCTAGTGACAATAATGGATTTTAGAGATCTTATCAAGAATAAAAGAAAGTAATATAATACATCTTTATATCCAAAAATCCAGGTTCAGATCTAGTTACTAACCATCTGAACCTACTACCAAAATAATAAGGGAACAGTTTGATACAAACAGACACTGGTTTGAGATAAATAAATACAACATGTTTTACAACAATAAAACCTGTGAACTCACCAACATTATGTTGACCTTTCAAAACTCACATGTATTCCTATGTCATTAATGGAGACAAAAGGTCCCACAACACAAGCTTATGAAGTGAATCGCAGACTACCAAAGAGCATAGTCATCAAGATAAAACTCAGTATAATGAACTTAAAAATCTTTATGTAAGTTATCATTTGTTAAATGGAAGTGATATTTATGTTATGAATAATAGGTAAAATCCTTATCTATGATCCAACATCATAACGTCACGCTGCATGGCGTTTCCACTGCCAGGCCGGGGGTGTGACATTCACAACCTCATTTTTATGATTTTCAAATGTTTTATGGGGAGAATACATGTTAGAGTACTACACTATTGATTTTATAAATATTAATAATTGTATTGTATTAATGATATAATTATACCTGCAAATGTTAGGATGATATTATGTCTGGTAGATATTCTGCCAAATTTTTAAGGATAATATTATGCTTAGTCGTTACCCTGGCCAACTTTTAAATACAACATCGTACGTGGTTGTGATGCTGGCCGACTCTCTAGGGAAAACACTATACCTAGTCGTTACTATTCTCAACTTTTATGAATATTATCATTCACTATCGGTACGCTGCCCAAAAATATCATAGATAATATCTTATGTTGTCACTCTATTAGATTCAAAAGGATAATTG